TTGTAACAGGTTGTAAATGTTTCCATATATCTTGATTATCAATAGTTAATTTTGGATATCGACAAGCAAGATGTGTTGTATTAAAAAATTCTTCATGTAATAAATAAATATTTTTCGTTGGCTTTATATTTGCATCTTTAAGATCACTTGTGTCAATAAAAAAAATTTTATCAATATCATTTTGTTGTTGGCGATAATTATTTGGAAAATATTTATTAATTAATACCATTGTTGATATGGTTGAAAATAAAGTTAATAACAATATAGATGTACGAGTGACAAAATAACGTCGACAACGACGACGTATTTGCATTGTCTTGTATGTAATACAAGTTGTTGTTTTTTTCGACGTCGATATTTCCAATAAAATTTTATAATCATCAGATTTTATTTATAGTAAAGAGCATTCAACAGCGCCCATATACATATATATGAAAACTAGAAAAAGAAATAAATGAGAAATGTTTTTTTCCTATTTCTCGCATCTGCTCTTGAATAATAATAGATAATTCTATGACTATTACACTTCGAGATTTAAACAGAGAAAAGACTTTTTTTTGTGTCTGACAACTCCCTTAAGCTGAGTATGACATTGATCAATGAATTCTTTCGAGTGTATTCATAGAGAAATCCTATGTTAGATTTGCAGTCTTAAGAAATTCTAAGGTTATCTTTTCTAAAATATAAATATTCTTACTGAAAAATATATGATAATTGTATTTTTTAGAACTTTCTTCTTCTTCGTCTAATGTTGCTATTTTGTAGTCAATAGAGTTCACTGAAAGGAAGAATGAATAGTAACAAAGCGGCATTCTAATAATTAAGAAGTACTGTTGAAGTGTTATGCGTGTCATCATGACGTTTGCTGTAGATAGACGGCATTGAACTAACACAAACAGATAAAATAGAGTGAGCGTTCGTCATCATCATCATCATCATCATCATCATATAGCGTGCGCATCGTTCATAGCATCATAGCTCGTTTGACGCATCTGAATGTGTGTGCGTGAGTGTGAATGTGTTTCTGTTGGGCGCGTAATGACGGTACCAATTACATGAGCTTTCTATTCCAGTCTATTCTATTCTGTTTGTTATTCGATGGATCTCGTCGTCGTAGCCGATCGTCTTCTTTATTCTCTTCCTTTGTCTTTTCTTTCATTTTTTTTCGAGAAAGTCCCATGTTGATGTAAAACCAGTCCTATCATTGTTCGCTTATAGCATTCTTGACGTTAACCCTTTCCGTATAGCCGTGAATAGTGTGACTGAGACAAGAACAGAAAAAAAAAGCGAACAAGCTATTTCATAGATTTTTGCCGTGCGTGTTTGAGGAAACATATACAATTATATGTGTATTTTTCTTTAGATAGATTGGTTTATTAAAAAGGAAGAAAAAAAAAATGAACGGAAAATAAATGTATGTAAGCAAGCAATCATGAGTTTGTGTAGGAGATTATTCATTCCGTTCTATTAGTCCTTGGAAAAAGAAAAAGGCACTCGGTTTACTTTGTTTGCATGTATGTATGCACATGAACGGCACTTCATTTCCGCTTGGCTTATTGACATGGTGTGTGCATCAACAAGAAAAAAAAAGAAAATACAATGCATTTTGCTACTTTTTTTTCATATCCTTATTTTTCATAAGACAAAAATAAACTTCCGAGAGTTTGACACCGTCTGATCAATAAAACTACAATTGTTAATTATTTTGTGCGTTTGCTATTCAATATCTAATAATATAGTCGTTCTGAAGAGCTAATAAGAAACAATTTAATATATAAAAAAAACGTTAAGAAAGATGCCAAAAGCTAAATTATTTTATAAGCTTTGTATTATTATTGTTTTTTTTTTATGATATGAATTATTTATCTTATGTTTTTGAATATAGCTAATGAATATATTTAAAAAAAAACAACTTTTACTATCTGGCATTGTAAATATAATAATGGATTTTAAAAGTCAACACTTATAAATTATTGATAATTACCTTGATAGTTTTTAAAACAGAGAGATCGAAAATGAATTCTAACATTTGATTATATATAATCTTGGTAAAAAATAGTTCTAATCAGTATTTAAAGTATATGATTATCATAGAAAAAAAGTACTTATATGTGTTCTGGAAGCGCTGATAGTTTTCAATTACCTTGTAAATCTATATTTTAACTTACGTCTATTGCATGGAACATAAATCAATTGCTATAAAGGTACATTCATAGTTAGATTTTTCACAAACTGAATTTTGTCATTGTCTTGTCAATTTACCGTTTAAATATATTATGCCTATAAAAATAGTTTTCTATTATATTCTGAGAGATCTTGAAATTCTCTATCAGCCTATATATTTCTTTCTTGTCTTACATTCAAGTTCCGATGAATACTAGGTAGGCATACTTGTTGAGAAACTGTACAAAACTGCTTTTCTCTGTTATCAATTTTCTTTTTATTTCAAGTTTATTTTGAAATAAAAATAAAACAAAGAAATAATTGAAATATCGAGATTTTCAAATTTTGTCAACGAGTGTACGTATGTAATACTCACTTTATTTTAACAGAATATACATATAAGATATGGCAAAAGTATGTAGGATAATAGAGAATTTCAAGTTCTATCAGAATATATATTCATCTTCTTTTTAGAAAAGCATGTCTAAAGTGAAGATAAACTTCAAAAGCATAATTGAGTGACAAAACCTTTATTGCAGTTGATTTATTTTTCAGCCACTAGATGCAAGTTAAAACATAAATATAGAAGATAACGCAAGCGTTGTAGCTCTTTTTGAACACATAATTAGTTTTTTAATGCGCTTTTAAAGTGACAATATACTTTTAGAAAAGCTTTTAGCACAATTCCTATAGGATTAAAATGTGAAACAAGATGTAGCTGACATTATTAATTACAGAGAGATTTTCTTATTCTATCTATTTTGGAACACATCTCTTCACTATCCTTTTCGAGAAATGCAATAAGAAATAAGAAATTAATTAATTTGTTACAATTGGACGTTATTCATATATGGTCTTTGATCATATATCAGCACCATCTGTGACACAAAAGTTGCAAATTTCTACCCTATATACTTCAATATTCGATTTAAATCGTGTTTTACATAATCGACTAAAACTATTTTTTTTTCAGGGATATCTATCGACAATTGAAAATTTTTAAAGAATATATTTCTAATTGGATATCGATCCAAATATGGATCTTAGACTAAATGATTCTTCAATAAAAATGTACCATAAGTGTATTGGAAACAATTCATTACTCAAATAATATTCCAACATATTTCTTCTATAGAGCATATTTATTAAGATATTTTCTTGTCAATCATTTGAATTAAATAATAATTATCAATTATTAAAGTTGAATATTTCTATTCACTTCGAAAGAATTTTTATTGATGTTTTGACAAATAATTATTCATAGAATTATTTCGTTTGATTTCTTCTTCTAAAACCGTCTAAATTAATTGTAAAAGGCTAGTTATTATTTGAAATTTATTAACTTATATTTATGTTAATATAATATGAAAAGTATTGACAATTTAAACTCATTCTCTGCTTCAAAACGAATCAAATACGTATTTTTTTCTAAATTTATTTAATAATTCAATCAACAGTAACAATCGCTTGTCATCACTCAATGATCGCCAATCTTTTTTAGAAGTATAGAGAAATTTCATATTCAACCGCCAAACATAGCTATGCTTTCACTCATATTGAATGGGAAAGATTCTGCTCAAAACTATCTTAAACAGAATATGAAATCAGTGAGCATCGATATCGAGAATAGTTTAAAGAAAAACAGCTCAATTGAGTTCGAAATACGGAAAATAAGAATAGGAATGCACCGTCGATCAGTGACAAAAATTACGATAATTTTCGACGAAGCAAGCATTATGATAGAAATAATTTCATTAATTTATTGCTACTGCAAATTGGCCAGTTACTAGACATACGATACCATATATATCAAGCTGTTGTGAAGTGATAAGCGGAATCGATTGTTTCGAATCCTGGTTTAGCACTAAATAATGCATAGAAGAAAATGCTATATCATTTTCTAGTAGTATCAATGAGCTCGAAACATCTCGCGTGACCTCTAATATTGTTCTTCTTAAAGAAAAAAAGTGTAAACCATGAAAACATGACATTTAACGCAAGTTTTACATGGCCATGCAAGATATCACTTCGAATTCATATGAGTATTGTTTTAATCTATTCGTATTCATGTACAAGAGAACTATTCGAATTGATATCAGCTGTGTGACTTCATATTGAGTTCACAAAGAGATGTTGCCCAACTTTGAATATGCATCGAAAAAATAAATAACGACATTTTAATGTGAAAGGAGCATTCTTTTCGGCTGAGACTTTATCGACAGTTCAGTAAAAGGGTCAAAACTCGGTTCCAGCAGCTCATGAGTACGAATCTTTTTTACGATTTTTCTAGTCTTATCTAGATCTTCTTCTGTACTCTAAATGAGCTCAAATGACGAGCATAAGTTTGGATAGTTTTCTCGTTAGTTGTTTTTTTAATCTTACTAATCATCCGTATATAAAAGTAGTCAAACAATATTTAATCCATAAATTTCAAAGTTAATTCTCTTTCAAACATCTTCATATATATATATATCTTAATTTGTTAATTAAATTTCTGTCATCATAACGATATCTATTTTATTAAATAATAGTAAAACAACTCAACAACAATATTCCTCTACACATTATAATATTTCTACAAAAACTAATCCATGTATAACATTACTAATTCTTCTTCTCTTCTATACAATTAGATTTGAAAAAATACTCTAAACGGTAAAAGAATGACATAAATAATAGTAATAATAGTCAAAGATAAAATAAAACGAATAAATAAGTTTTTTGATTAAAAGAGAGAAAGAAAGAAAGAAGAAAAAAAAAAAACAAAAGAATATAATATATAATGTCAAAATAAAACAAGAAAAAGAAAGGCACAATGCAAATAAAATAATTTCAACTTAAAGAACACGACATTTAGGTGTACTACCTTCATAAACACAATTTGTACCAGCACGACAATCTATTGGGCACCAACGATAATTTTTTGGCATTATTTTTTGTTCACAAAGTACACCTGTTGTATCATTTTTACAAAGACATTTATAACCATCTTGTGTTATTATGCATTGGCCATCTTTACCACATGGACTTGGTGTACATGTTCTTGGTCGATTCACTAAATCAAAGAAAAGAAAACAAAAATTGTTTTTTTTTTGTTTTCTGTCTAACAAAAAACAATCATCAAAGATTCTTAACTTACTTAATTCACAACGTTTACCATAATATGGTTTTGGACATGTACATTGTGGACCATTTTCATTAACATAACATTCACCACTATTCATGCATGTCCAATTTGCACATAGAGCATTGCTCATAGCTCGTTTACGTGCTGGTTTAAAAAGAGAGGACAAAAGAATTCTTTTGTCAATGAAAAAAACAAATATTTTAAACTAAACTAAACTTACCAAATTGACAGTAATAACCAGTAAAACTAGTTGGACAATAGCATCGAGCTACATTTTGAACAACACCACATCCACCATTGTTTTGACAAGGATTAGGTAGACATGGATTGACTGCTGTAACAACTGGTGTTGGGCATGGACAAATAATACAGGCACAAACAGGTCGAGGAGCTGGTGTAGTAATCAATGTTTCACAATTACTACCTGTAAAAGGAAATGAACATTGACAAATATAACCAGTTGTTGTAACAACACATGAACCACCGTTGTAACTAGAGGAAAATTTTTTTTGTTTTAAAAAAAATTGTGTTTTTCTTAATCAAAATTTTTTTTACCATGGATTTGGTATACAATAATTACGAGTTTCACAGCATGGACCATAGTAACTTGGTGTACATGAACAAACAAATGCTGAAAAAAAAAAACGAAAACAAAATTTCTATTATTAAAAACTTTCAATAGAATTTTTATCTTACTTGTTGGACCTGTTGGTGTACAGGTACCTCCATTTAGGCATGGCTGAGAATTACATGGATTTGGTGGTGGAATTAAAATAGCGCAAGTTGGCCCAGTATATTGTGGTGGACATTGACATTGAAATGAATTACCAATAACTATACAAATACCACCATATAAACATGGATTTGGCTCACATACACGTAATTCACAACGAAGACCATTATAACCAGTTGGACATACACATCGGAAAAGATTAGGTCCTGCTATTTGACATGTTCCGCCATTTACACATGGATTAGTATAGCATGGATTTGAAGCAGCTAAGTTTATTTCACAACATACACCACTAAAGCCAACAGGACATGAACAGCCAAATGTACCTTGTCGAAGATAACAAGTACCACCATTTTGGCTAAAGACAAAAAAAAGACAATTTATTTATCTAACAGAACATTCAATAAAAGTTTGCTCTTTTTTTACCATGGATTTGGTTGGCATTGATTTGGTAGTGGAAGAACGATAAGAGCTGAAAACAAAATTATTAGAAAAGATTTTTTTTTGTTGTTGTTGAAGAAATGAGTAACTATCATCTACAGCTAAAATATTAATTTCTAACTTTAGTTCTAGTACCTATATTAGTTTGACAATGACTACCAACATAATTGTCTAGACATTGGCATTGATAGCCGATTAATGTTGGTATACATATTCCCGAATTTAAACAGGGATTACTCAGACCACAACCTGTACTAGTTGGTGTATCTTCAAAAAAAAAGGAATGATACAAGAGATATCTCATTTCTATTACTCTCCGTAAACTACCTGCATAATCACATAGGAGACCTGTATAGCCTGTTTGACAGACACAACGAGAGTCTCCACCAAATACAGTTAAGCAAAATGCTCCATTTAAACAAGGATTAACTAAACATAGTTGATTAGGATTGTCATTAATAGGTGTAATTGTAATAGTAATATCTGAAAAACTTATATTAATTTAAATAATCATATCTCTCTCGACAAAATGAATATTCTAGCATTACCAGAATAACTACATAAAGATCCAACAAAACCAGGTGGACAAATGCATTCAATCGTATTCGGATAGACTTCTTTACAAATTCCACCATTATCACATAGATTTGGATAACAACCTTCTCTTGTAGAGATAAAAAACTCTTCATTTTAAAATACGATATTTTACAAGATCATGCTTATGTTATTTCATTGATCTTACGTGTTATTTGACATTGAACACCAGTATAACCATTTGGACATTGACAAGTAACTGCTTGAGCAGCAATAATACAAATACCTTGATTTTTACAATATGATCCACAACCGAATTGTTTTGGTGCAGTGACAAATGAATCTTTGCCTGAAACATCTTTTAGTGATAGCATATCAAGTGCATCGACATCAGCTTCAATAGTTGGATATTCATCATCAGATGTAGTAACATTTGAACTAATTGTTATTTCTATAGGAAATAATTTATGCTTTAATTAAGAAAAAAAAGCCATGAATTAAAACTTACCAACTCGATCTTTTGAATCATCACAATTTGTAACTAAATCTTTAGCGACACATGTTTTTAATTTAGGTTCATAAACTGTACCACTAGCACATGTAAATAAAACTCTTAAATTATGAAAACAACGAACAAATCGTTGACAATTTGCACGATCGCCAACATAATCATGACATGCTTTTCCTTTCAAAAATAAATTTACAAATAAAAAAAAAAGGAAATTAAATATGAGAAATTTCGTTTTTCAAACTTACGTTTTGATTTAAGATCAGCAGTTGTTCCTTGTAAAGCAAGATAGACAAAAAGAATAATAAAAATTCGATTCATATTTATCGTCTTTGTATTGTTATAATAAAAATTGATCAAACACCGGGCTATCGAAAGAACGATGTTATGTATTATTTTTTTATACCGACTAACAATGAGAAGATGGAGTTTTTGTGAGATTGTCTTCACTATTTAAATTCATCTCTCTCTTAGCTCGACATTTTAATATGCAGACGAGAAAATGTCACATTTTTTTAAACACCCTTCAAAATTAAACCATTATACGCACGTATGTACTTGTTTTACAAACAATTGTATTAACAGCACGTCGTTGATATACGTCAAAATAATAGTAATTTTATCAATGACAAATGTGTGATTTAACACATTCTTTTTTTGTTTTCTTTCAAGGTTAGATCATATTTTTGATTACATTATATATTTTGTCCACCTTGAACATTATCACGTACGAGACAGAGCTCTTTTTTTTTTGTTATAATCTCAATTCAAATGTGTATATCCTTTTTTGTCTATGCATTTAGTTCATGGTCGATGAATGTGGTTTAATTTTTAAAAGGTTGCATAGACAGATATTCAAAATAAAATATTAGCCAAGGATAATTAAAAAAAGAAGGTAATTTATATTCATTTTTCTAATAACGATCTTGATTAGGACAAAAAAGAAAGGAATGCGATTATTTTTTGTATTTGTGAAAACACTTATTATAATAGTTGGATTGCCTTTTTTTTTTACGTTTAAAGTGTATCTATCAATGTCAGTTAGATTTATCGAGAAGTGGATTGAAAGTATTTCGTTTTACTATAAATTAAATCTAAGTCTTTAGAATGTGTCATGAAATGAAATATAGAAGACATTTATTATTTTCCTATTTTTATTAAAGGAAAGCAACATGAAAATTGGTCAATTTTTGAGAGTAGAGACAAGCATGACCCTACTTAGTAATGTAAAGATCAAAATGTTAAGACAAGAAAAAGGAATATCCTTTTTTTCTTGTAAGTTCTTATTTTTTAATCTTAAAAGTTTTTTAGGTTAATTACGTTTTCTCGATGTCTAAAATGATTTAATATTTTTAAGAATTGAAGCATATGTCGTACTCAATGACGAAATATATAGAATGAATAATGCAAGAGGGAACAAACTGATATCTGATTTCCGATAATTTCCATAATTACTAGAACAAAAAAACAATTTCAATATTCTTTGTACCTTTATCGTTTTTAAGGTTTTACTAGGCAAAATTATGATACATGAGAATAAAACTGTATTGTACTACTTATCTTTTTGACAAGTCAAGAAGCTGTTTGCTTATGAAAATACTTCATTTAAGTTATTGATACTAACTACGACATAGGTTTTAGTCTCTATAGTGTCAACCAACTACAGTTCTCAATATGTAGATTTACAATTTATTAATCATTATTGTCTTCTTTATCAATATTCTCTAAGAAAAAAAGTTATTAGCGATATTTCTATAGTAGTTGAATTTGGAACATCATTGGTTTACATACATTGTATATTAAAAGACTCTACGACAGATGCTTGAGTTTAGGATACGCAACGTATTGATATATCCGTAATGAAAGCTATTATTAGTAGTATGCCACAGTAAGTTTGGAAAGGGAATCATCAAAGACAAGTATGTTAAAATTAATCTTCTTTCATAATAATCCTTTAAAAAGCTTAAGTTGACAGGCTAAATCTATTCATGACTGTGATGAATAACGGTGTTACTATGCTACCTATGACAATCTAGGGCTTTTTCATAAGAATATCTGTCATGATCTGCGAGGAACAGAATACTGACTCTTTTGAGATTCTAGATTTCGGTAGCATTTTGTGAACTTTTCAAGTTTTCGTTTTAGACAGTATCGTAACCATCTGTAAAATCGCTAAACATATTGTCGTCTATTTTCATTATTCAATTCAAAATCTGATTCTGTGTTCAAGCTGTTCTTGCTATTTATTTTGATTAACTTTGATTGCTTCAATAGATATCACTCATCCATTCTGTAGTCATTGTTCAATATTGATAGGAATTAAAATTTTGATTACATGTTCATAAGTATAGGAAGACTTTTTCAATGAGAAATGTCGAACGATTAGTTATGTTTGGCAAGGTTGATGCATTTGCAATACCATTGGGAGTTTTTAATATGGCAGAAAGTGCAAGCAGTTTCAGCTTATGTTTTTCTATTGATTTTGTAATGTCAGTGATGTGTTGACTCTACATACAAATTATGTATCAATGATATTTACTGTTAAAGAAAGGACATGGGATATCGATTGTAAGAATTTCAATATTCTTGTTAAAATGTGCGGCTTCTCTCGTAACATGTTAACTGTGTCGTGAATAATTTTATTTTAAAGATTAATAATACGAGAAATACACGAATAGAATCATTGCGTTCGGTACAGAATAATAATTAGTTGATGATAAAATACTGACGTTTCGTTTTCAATTCTTCTTTGGAAAATATAATGATGTTCATTTGCTGTGAAATTCAAAAAATACGTCATTTCATTTCTTTCGATTAAATTCATTGATATACGATTGTTGTGGAAATAATTTATGTTTCAGTATTTTCAAAATTATATTGAAACAATAATTTTATCATCCTCATCTAGCTATTGTCTAATAATAATAGGAAAAAATTTTAACTGCTAAAGTACGTGAATGCAATTCAGAATTATCTATCCATTCACAGTAATAGGTTTGCTAAAGTATTGTTGTTTATCGCTATCGAAGATGAGATGTATTTAGATTGATTACTGAAAAAATAGCACTGAATTTCGATATCAATGATGATGTTGTCAGTTTATGTGCAGTTGAAAGACTATCATCTGAAACCATCAAATCCAAATTTTACGCTCCGTTATATGTTCTCCAGTTAAGTTAGTTTAGATCAACTTTTTAGCCCTATCTATCGAGTATGAAAACAATAATTATAAATCGTGTCAAAAATGTGTACTGGGATTATACTTCTACAAGTCACAGAAAATTTTCCTACTAAACACAATTAGATGCAGCTTCAACAAGCTGACAAAAAAAACGAACTATTCAAAATATTGTATATCATCTATTTCTTGAGGTTGTATAGTGCAACATGGATGAAAATGATAAAATTTTATGAATTTTGGCAGTATATGTGCTGCCATTTTTTAAAATCAAACCGGACCAAGCTGAATTTTTTATATGTTAAGCAACTTTATAAAATAGTAAGAAAAAACATCTAGAAGAAGTTTATCTTCGAGACAATATGAAATTTACACTGTCAGCTTTTTTTAATGGCTATTTATGACTCATATAATATAGAACGAATTCATTAAGAAAATTTTGTCTTCAATTAGGTACTATTATTTCTTTGAGTGAGAAGCACGTATTGAGACTGACATTTTAATACTGAATACATCAAGCCATATGTGAAACCAATCAGCTTATACTAAGCTACAAAGTATTAAGAGAGTAATCCTGAACCCATTCAAGAACGAAGACATAGATTGAAATTTTATTTTGTGATTTAATATGTGCATTTATACGTCATTTTTTCTTTCTTGTGAAATGGTTAAAAAAAAGTTCAAAAATCTATCCACGTTAGAGATGATAAATCATAGAATAGTGGAATAGCATTCAATATTTACTAAGGATAATAAAAGTGGTTAGCTTTTTTCGTCAAAAAAATTATCATTTTCATAAATTCTATATTGTGCTAAATGATATGAATAGTTTTTTGTATATTTTACAGTAGTCAAACGCTGTAAATCTAAATCTAAATATATATATATTTGTTGATAACCAAATTAGACTAAAAATCTAATTTTACTTTTCCGTAATTACTACCATAATTGTAACTCGCAAGTTCTAACAATAACTATATACTTTTAATTGTAATTTCTAATCTCTTAATATAATTTCAACTGTTCTTTCGTTGTATTAAGTAACAGAACGAAAAAAGTAAAAAACTTGTTTTTTCTTTATTTGCACTGTTGTTAAAAGTTTTTTGTCACATATTATAGTATTGTATTACAAACTTAATTTTTAAAAGACAGTATAGAAAGAAAATATGATTGGCATGTAGGTATTTGTGATACTCGTATTGATAGGTTAAAAGAAAAACAAAGGTTAGTGTTTCGTGCCTTTATATGACATCTTAAAATAACATGTTTCAGTAATGAACAAAACCTTGAGACACAAAAGAGCAGATAACTTTTTTATTCTCTAATACAGTATTGCATTGTCATATCGTAATAAAGTTATTCTTTGCAAGTTTCAGTTTCAAACATTTGTGCTTTGTTGAGACATCGTTGAATGGCTTTTCGAATAATAGAAATGCGTGAATAAGTTCGAAATTTCATTTTCAAGCCGTGCTTAAGACTAGATTTATAATTTTTGAGTTCCGTTGAATTATTATCCATAACCTTACGTGATTAACTTCAATATTTAAAGCTTGTGTAAAATAACTAAGCGCCATAGATTGATTTTTAATTGAGCCATAACAATGTCCCAAACCCATTAAATGTTTTTACAAAATCTGGATGATCTTTTGATAATGATTTACAATCGATTTCAACAGGTTTTTTATAATATTCTATAGTTAATTTATGATTTTCATTACCATAGTGAGCGCTACCAATGTTGTTATAAGTTGTTGATAAATCTGGATCATTATCAGGAAGTGATATTAGATCGTTATGTAGCACAATGTAGTGATATTTTAAGGCTTTTATATAATTGTCTTGTTTAAAATAAACAAATCCAATGTTATTTTATGTTTTATCAATATCCTAATGGCCTGTAGGCAAGTATTTTAACTGAATATTTAATACTTTTTAATGATTAATTAGCGCCTTTCAGAATTGTTCTTGACATATGTAAACACAGCCATTATTTGAATATGTTGTGGCAATATCAGCAAGGTTTTCTTGTTTTGGATTTGTAGTTTCAATTTTTATTTTCAATACCTCTTTGTAATATTTCAATGCTGCTTTATTTTTATTTTTATTTGCATAAATAATCTCAATATTATTGAAATTTGTTGCTATATCAAAATAGTTTGGATATTGATTTTTCATTTCACAACTAATTGATTTCAGATAATTTTTCAAAGTTTTTTTTTTATATCTGCTTTGATCACTATATAAGACACTAAGATTATTATAGACGAGTGAAGTTGTAGTATGATCTAATGATCGTTCTTCTGTTAGTATCATTGAAAAAAAAACTTGTGCTTTGTCATATTCACCAGTTTTCCAAAGAAAATAGTCTAACGACATTAATGATGATTTATTGAAACCTTTTCTGTTGAATATTTAGTAATTTTAGTCAATTATTTAGTTTTTTCTTCACTTACAAATTTTAACTGAACATGCCATATATTATCGTATTGTTCAACGAATATAATTAAGAAAATAGTGCCTAGTGAGAAGAAAACTTCATTCTCATCTTTAATAAAACTTGCATGACCAATATTTGCAAATGATATTGTAGATTTCATTAATTATCGATCAAGTTCAGTTTCAAAAAATATAGACTCTACAAACGGACATTGTTCATCATTTTCAGCAAACATAGGAGCTACTTGAGAATTAATTGTTGTAGAAAAATAGGTATTAATTGAAATCATTTTACCGATATTTCCTTTTAGTTTTTGTAGTTCTTCGTTGCTTACATCTTGTCCTCGATAAAAAGTTAAAAGAGTATGATCTGTTGGTATTGAATCAATGTAATTTAAATGTCATTTTTCTAATTGATTATGAATATCAGTGAGAAAAAATCTTAACTTAACTATTGTTGCAATATTTTGAGATCGAAATGCTTTATTTAATTGATAATAAAGAAAACAATCGCTAGTATACCCATAATAATACATTAATGGCTTGATAATTTTAACGAAAATCTTCAATTTGACATTCAGTTAATAAATCTTCTTTTGCTTTATTCGATTGAGACATACGTATGGCTGTTTCAAGTAGTAACGAAAACTAAGCAAATGTTGCACTTTCTTTATCTAAAACATAAATAGATTTTTCTGGTGTGAATATACTACGTATCATTAAATTATTGGATGATAATCGGTAATCATTTTTTTTAGTTTTTTCAGAAGAGATTCACTATCAGCAAATGTACCATTAATTTTTGAATAAGATTTGGTTGATGCAACATAATCTAATGTATTATGGCAAAATATATAAATATATTCAACTTGTGAATAATTGTGAACACGAGGAATAATTGTTTCGGACAATGTGCCAGATGTAATTAGAAATATTTTTTTCTGTTTTTATAGAATTTATGTATTCAAAACATTTATCTATATTATTAAATTGTTTTATAAAATTAATTATATGACGTAAATGACATTGAATTTCATTTTGTTCATTCTTGACATCAAGTTAGATAAGGGAAAAATCTTCATGATTGCTTTTTGATGCGATCCTTTAATGTCTCATCTACTTTTTTAGACGAAGGTGTCTTTTTCTTTCTAGTAGTATGATTTGTTGGTAACTTCGAAATCATGGTAGATTTTTTTTCATATGCACTTTTTCTTTCAAAAAAATGTGTTTATACATGTGTTTTCATCATAAAAAATGATGAGCAATTGTTAACGGAACCAAGCAACGCTAGTTTTGTTTATCCTTTGTTTGCAAAAATAAAATTGAAATTATGATCTATAACAGAAAAAGAGGAAAGGACGAAAAAAATGCAAAATATTTTGTAAGTAACAAATTGTTGCCCCGTGTTTTTTTAACGTATCATACAAACGAAAGAAGAAAAATTCAACCTGTTTAAAACTATTTTCATTGTGTGTAGGGAGATGTCCGTAACAAATCGTTTCGCTCTTCTGTTTTTATATGATATTTGATTTTGAATGAAAAAAATCTGTTTTGGGGATGTAGATGCAGAGCAGACTGGCAGACACACTCTTAATGTATTCTATAAAACAGCCACAACTCTAGAAGGAAGACCTATAGGCACGAATCTTTTCTAGGCTCTTCCTGATCTCACTGACGAGGGAACCATCCGAGGTGTCAAAAAGCTTTTCAGTCAGGGATATGATGGTTAGATCGGGCATAGCTAGGAGTGATATACCCTAAGTTAGTTCGGGCCCAATTTGCTTCTAGCAGGAGTTATGAAATGTGAAATTTAGGTATAAAAATGAATCAGGGAAGGTTTTCTCCACTATTGTAAGGACAAAACATAGTGTTATTCGGGCCGATTATGGGGTTTGTAGGGATCCNCATAGATAAAATGAAATAATATATTCAATTTAATAGTTAATTTAAGATAAAATGTACAAATTGTAACTTTGACAAACATTTTCGTCAAAGTTGTAACTTTGACGATTATCTTTGTCAAAGTTGTAACTTTGACGAAATTTTTGTCAAAGTTATAACTTTGTCGACCGGTGTAACTTTGATACGACATATATATATATATAATATTGTTGATCATCATATATAGGATGACCATTCACATTATATGTCATTTTTTCCTTTTCTTTTCAATTGCGTTATTTAATATTTTGTCTTGTGATTTCTATTACGATCTTTTGTATATATATATATATATCATATACATCTTTCTTTTTCTTTGTTACATACACATGAGAACTGTTATTTCTGTTTATCTCGTTATAAAGTTCATCGTTATTATTATTATTGTTAATTATCATTAACATCAATAAAACCTTTATTGATAATAATTAAAATTTATAATTAATCTAACATCTGATTATAAATTTGATTAACTGAACATAACTTCTTTTCTTCCACTCCAAATATAATATATTATTATATTAAAAATATATATTTATTAATTACAAAGTTCGGGAGATAATTGGTGTAAGCTCTCAAAATTGTTAAGCAGACTAAATATCATTTCTGCTATAGATCCTCTCAAACGAGAGTCTTACACACATTGAATTCAATCATAATGATTAATGATAACAATCGGTTAAAAAGAAGAATTTATATTTTAGATTATTATTATTTTTCCTTCTCTATTACATTTAATTGAATTCTTGTTGTGATAGCCATCAGTAATATGTTGATTATATAACTTGATGAACGATATTTGCCAATGTTTAGACTTGTTAATCAATAAATAAAATGCCATTTTTAAAAAAGAAAGAAGTTGAAGGTATGCCAAATGAAATAATTCTTAAATTAAGAATTGATATATTTTGTAATTGTTTTTTTTTTAGAGGAAAGTTGAACAATCCGAGCTAATGATCCTGAAGCCAATACTGCAAAAGAATTTGCTGTAAGTTTTTTTTTTCTATCAATAAAATAAATTAAAGTTAATATTTTTTTTTAAGGGTAATCAAATATCGACGTCAAAATATAATTTAATAACATTTTTACCTAAAAATCTTTTTGAACAATTTCGTCGATTAGCTAATGCTTATTTTTTATTTCTTTTATGTTTGCAAGTAAAGAAAGAAAAAAAAGAAACCATATTTTCATAATTTTGAATTAATTTATTCTTTTTTTCTTTTAGCTTATTCCACAAATTAGTTCACTAGCACCTGTTACAACTATTTTACCACTTGTTTTTGTCTTATCGTTAACTGCAATAAAAGATGCCAGTGATGATATTGTTAGTATATGAAAAAAAAATTTTTTTTTCTTTTTATGAATTAAATATTTATTTAAGGCAAGGCATCGTAGTGATAATCAAGTAAATAATCGTGAAACCAAAACAGTAGTTGAAAATGAATTAGTAACTAGGAAATGGAAAGATATTAAAGTTGGTGATATGGTACGATTAGAAAATAATGAATTTGTTACTGTAAGATATTATAAATATTTAGAAAGAAAAAAAAAAGAAATTGTGTTTATTTAGGCTGATATTGTTCTTATATCAACAAGTGAACCAAATAGTCTTTGTTATATAGAAACAGCTGAATTCGATGGTGAAACAAATCTTAAAGCACGACAAGCTTTAGAAGAAACATGTGCTCTTGAAGATCATATTGACCAATTGTCGAATTTTGATGGTAGAAATATTAAAATTAAAATTTATTTAATTGAGTTTGTTTTTTTTCTCTAGTGGGAATTGAATATGAATCACCAAACAATAATCTTGAACGATTTGAAGGAAATTTAACATGGAAAGGAAAAACATTACCATTAAAAAATGATAATGTTCTTTTACATGGCACTAGGCTAAGAAATACATAATGGGCTTTTGGAAGTAAATTACTTGAGGAAGTTTTTTTTTAAATATTTTATTTTTGTTTTTCTAAATTTCAGTTGTTTGTTATGCTGGTCCAGATACGAAATTAATGAAAAATAATGGAAAAGCAAAATTTAAACGAACTAAAATTGATTATTTACTTAATCGCATCATTCTTGGTGTAAGAATATAAATATTTTTGTAGGTTGTTTTTTTTTTTGAACTAAATTATTTCTTTTATGTAGATCTTTCTTTTCTTATTAATAATGTGTGCAATAATGACAATCTGTAGTGGCTTTTGAGAATTATTTGTTGGTTATGATTTTCGTATATATTTACCATGGGAAACATATGTTATCTACTAATCAACAGATTGATGCACTTGAAATAAGTTTATTAGTATTTTTATCATATATAATTATATTAAATATTGTTGTATCAATATCACTTTATGTTAGTTTTGAATTTATATGTTTATTACAATCTAAATGGATTGATTGGGATATTAAAATATATTATGAACTAAATAATGTACAAGCACAAGCTTGTACAACAACATTAAATGAAGAATTAGGACAAATTGAAAATATTTTTTCGGATAAAACAGGAACATTAATACAGGTAATTTTAAGAATAAAGAATTTAATTTTTTCTTTAAATAATCTTCAACGAAGATTTTTATATCTAGTAGATCTTGAAGAAATTAGTAAATCTTCAAAAACGATAACTATTTTTGTGAAATCTTTAATCTATGTATTAGTAAAACCTTGACTTGTTTATTGATATGTATATATATATATAACATGATGAAAATACTACGATAGAATATCGAAAAGACATGTATCATGTAAGAGGAAAAATATCCAGGTGTCGCACGCCGTTTGATCCCTTATTTTGGTTACGAATAGAGCTTATTCAAAACAAGAAAATTTTTAAAAGACTTCGGACCCATGCATTACCCAACTAGAGCTATGATCGTATTAGTAGATTTTCGGTCTCTGAGCTAGTTTTTCATCTAAAATTTTGCCTATTGACTCATCTCAAGGTTGCTAGAGTATCGTAAAAATTTCAGCACAAACGAATATATTCTTCTTGAGATATCAAGTATTTAATGAATGTTTATATACGACAAAGAAAGCTATAAAATGAAGTTGTCTTAGACACTTGATATGTCAAGAAAAATACATTCGTTTGTGCTGAAATTTTTAAGATATTTTAAAAGTTGTGAGACTCGTCTATCGACGAAATTTCATAAATATGAGTTGTCTGAAAAATCTGAAGCTTTAAGAAAAAAAAACTCAATAGTTTAGTCAAACTCAAATCCTTTTAGGATTTTTATTATAATACTATGTAGTATCTATTGACACAAAAAAAATCATTGAAATCGGAATGGAGCAGCTGAAGAGATTCCTTCATGAGCCTAGAAGCGGAAAACCTATTAAAACGGTAATAACTCTGATTGAATAATGCATGAACTCGAGCTTATTTTTGGTTTTCTCAGTTTTTATTTACATCGCAAAAAAAATCATAACTTCCTTATAGCCTAAAGCGAAATAACTTGTTTTCATATCGCAAGTAAATATTTAACTAATTTGAGAATCGATTTATATGAATTAGAAATGATTGTATAGTACTGAGAAAACTAACTCTGTGTAAATAAATTCATAGAATAAGAAATAGGCGAGGAAAGACTCTTAGCAATATTTTGTTTTTTTTTAAGAAAATTATTTTTTTACCGTTGTTTATGCTACTTCGAAGTGAATATGCTGATTCTGAATATTACCTTCATTGTGTGTTTAAAAAAAAAAATGAAGAAATTTTTTTTCTTGTAAACCTTGAGCTAATTTAGAATTTTGCTATTGAAAAATTTTATGAACGCTAAAGAACTATTTCAAAGTCAATCAGTAGAAAGTTCATTTTTATTTCTTCTATTCTTTATATCTATTCGGAGCATTTCATAGATACTAAATCTTATGATTATTCATCAACCTGAAACATTTCAATCAGATTATATCAATTCTATTGTCGATATTAGAATAATGATTAACATCAATTTTAGAAATTAAAAAGTTGTTTTTTTTTTGTTCTAAGATGTTGTTAGTCAAAAGAAAATACTCTATTTTTATGAAATTATTTCTATTCTTGTTAAAAATTACGTTCAAAAAAAATTCCAAGTTTTATTATATTTAAAAACTGTGCGTTATAAATATAAATGCATGTTTTCTTTTTCGAATTATCATTTACCAATGCTCTAGAATGTTTTATTTAGCTGCTGTAAAATCATCTTCTGATAAATAGTTCAGACACTGATGGAGAATAAGATGGATAATGAAGCAATTCATATTTCAAATCATGAGTAATAGAACGATATAAAATGTAGTGAAGCATTATCATAATGCAAAATGTTACTAGCTGAAATTAAATCTTGCCGTTGCTTTTTTATTTTTGGATGAAATTCTTCTAGCAAAATATGTGCGTACTATAGTATAGTAATGGACACATTCAATAATATGTATTGTTTGAGAATTACCCTATTATGTTTCAAGAAAAATGAATATAAAACTTTGCCAACAGACTTTTCTTCTCGTAGTTTTGTTGTTGATGGTGAATTAGCTTGTTTTCATTGCTGTCAAAAATTCTTTATATATTTGAACACGTTTGTCTCATTGATCAAATGTTAGTAAATGCATATAATATGCCTAGAATGTTCGCTATTAGCTGAATTATAATTCGATGGTCTTCTATTACTAGATTTTCAATAGGTTTAATAATTGTTTAATCTCCTGCAGTAATTGATCAGTCCATCCTAGAATCATTATCAATGTTTAACTGTTCATTCTTAAAGTGACGAGTCCATTGAAATACTCTATGATACTTGACATAATCAACTTTCAATAAATTTTCATTCAATATTCTCTATGAAATAATAAGAGCAAGAAAATAGATAGGATATATTGATAATGATTAGTGTTGATTTCATCTCTGGATGAGTGACTTTTCAAAACAAGAAGCATTATTATTGAACGATGTTCAAGTTTTTAATTTGACATTAGTGCATTTAAGTAGATCTGAAAAAATTTATTATTGTAGTACATAAATGTTTAATCAATTCAAAACTTATGATGTCAATAGATAGAAAATCGTGTGAACTATGAATAGACAACTATTTCAAAATAATAGTACTTTTTGTTGTTTTTAAATAAAATCAGTATCGGAACTTTTTCAACGACTCTTGTAATACTTTTGTATAAAAGAAAAACTTTAGGTGAATTTTTTTTTTCTTAATTAATAAAAAGTTCATTTATCATTATATTTAGAATATAATGACATTTAATAAATGTTCAATACGAGAAAAACTTTATGATTATGTAACTGATGAAGCTGGTAATGAAATACAAGATACTGAAGTACGATTTAATTTTTTTTTTTGTTATAAAATGAAATTTATTTTCTAAAATTCATGAAATTATATTATAGAAATTAAAAGCAATTGAATTTGACGAAAAAGAAAAAGATGATTATTTTCAATGGTATAATCAAATATTACTTGATGCTATAAAAAATAATGATAAAGATGTAAATAATTTTTTTGCATTATTATCTCTTTGTCATACGATTATGCCCGAAGAAAAAGATGGAAAAATTATATATATCAAGCACAATCACTTGATGAAAATGTACTTGTTTCTGCATCACGTACATTTGGTTTTGTATTTCTTGTACGTTTTATAAATTTTAAAAAACAAAAATAATGATCATCGATTATTGTATCTTCTTCTCTTTGTTAGGGTCGTACTCAAAGTAGTATTACAGTTCGATTTCGAGATAAAGAAGAAACATATGATTTATTGAATATACTTGTTTTTGATAATGATCGCAAACGAATATCGGTGAGTATTTTAAAAAAAACCCAGTTTTTGATTGTTTTAATAATTTGATTTTTGTTTTTCTATTTGATAGGTTATTGTTAAAAAAGATGGAAAAATAGTTTTATATTGTAAAAGTGCTGATAGTAAAATAAAAGAACGTTTAGATTCATCAGAAAAAGATATAATGGCCAACACCAGATGAACATTTAAATGTAAATGAAATTTTCAATTTTTAATCTTAGAATTATTTTTGTTTGTTTTTCTTGTAGAAATTTGTTACAGAAGATTTTCGTACACTTTATTTAGCATATAGAGAATTGAATGAAAGTGAATATAGAGAATGGTCTGAAAAAATGAATCAAGCAAAGTATGTTTATTACTTTAAATAAAACTCAACAGAGCAATTATAAGAGTGTGGATGTACTCGTGCAATATCTCTTGTGTTAGTATTTGAATTTCTGGGATATCTGGAGAAGACATTATATGTGGTTCGATTCGATTCAGGTATGCACCAGTTCCAGTTTTATACTGGTCAACTAGTACTCATTTAGTTGGTTGAGCAATATTTATTTATTTTTTTTTTCAAGTCAGTTTAATGCTTAAATTACTCTACTAGTTATCATTCAAAACTTATTCTTCTTTTCATCATAACCAATGGAAACAATAAAAGAGATCTAATAGCCAAACGACTAACTGCACAATCAAAAAAAAATTTATAATAAAATAAATATGATTGTGAATGAGAGTGTAGAAAAAATTGTTATCGATAGAGCAAACAATATGTTCTGAATGATAATTAGTAGCGATTTTGGCATGCACCAGTACGAAATCAATAAGCCGGAAAAAACCATCATCCATACATGTTTATTAGTATTTTTAAAGCAATACGAAATGAATAACACCCAGTTACTGGAATTGGTACATGCCTAGTTCGGTTCGATTCCGAAAAAAAAAACACGGATCGATCCTATCTGTCGCTAGTATGTATTGTTCAAAATCATCGTTTATCACATTTAAACACTGTATCGAAACAGAAAATAGCAAGAAATCGACCCACATAAGTAGCACCGGAACATTTGATACATTTAGATACGAGAAATAGTAATTTTAGACAATACATATTGGTTCAAACCAGAAAATGCCACATCCTAATCTACCTGACTAAGAGAACAAAATTTAGGTTGAGAAATCAACTAAAAGTAAAGACTGACTCTGCAGATCGTTGACTCTCGTTTTGCTATCATTAACATTTATTTTATGCTATCAATAGACAAATCTGATGGTTTAAATAAATTCTGGTAACTTCTCAATATTTATTTCATCAATTACGATAATTGAAGAACATAGATCAGTTTTCATTAAGACTAAAATTTATAAACTATGAATTAATAAATCAAAAAAGAAAGAATACATTTGAAAATTTTCATTCTTCAATAAACGAATTTTTTTTCTTTAGTACGAGTATGGAAAAATGAGAAGAAAAAGTCAAAGATGCATATGAACAAATAGAAAATCATTTCAAATTAATTGGTGCTACAACTATCGAAGATAAATTACAAGATGATATACTTCAATATATTGAATTTTTAGCACGTGCTGATATTAAAATTTGGGTTTTAACTGGTGATAAAATTGGTAAATTAAATTTCTATCTTTTTTTTGTCAATTGAACATTTTCTTTTTTTTGTTTTTTAGAAACNTGTATTGTCCAAAATCATCGTTTATCACACTTAAACACTGTATCGAAACAGAAAATAGCAAGAAATCGACCCACATAAGTAGCACCGGAACATTTGATACATTTAGATATGAGAAATAGTAATTTTGGACAATACATACTGGTTCAAACCACAAAATGCCGCTTCCTAACCTACCTGACTAAGAGAACAAAATTTAGGTCGGGGAATCAACTAAGAGTAAGGGCTGACTCTGCAGATCGTTGGCTCTCTTTTGATATCATTAACATTTATTTTATGCTATCAATAGACAAATCTGATGGTTTAAATAAATTCTGGTAGCCTCTCAATATTTATTTCACCAATTACGATAGTTGAAGAACATAGATCAGTTTTCATTAAGACTAAAATTTATAATCTATGAATTAATAAATCAAAAAAGAAAGAATACATTTGAAAATTTTCATTCTTCAATAAAAGAATTTTTCTTCTTTAGTACGAGTATGGAAAAACGAGAAGAAAAAGTCAAAGATTCATATGAACAAATAGAAAATCATCTCAAATTAAATGGTGCTACAGCTATCGAAGATAAATTACAAAATGGTGTACCTCAATGTATTGAACGTTTAGCACGTGCTGGTATTAAAATTTGGGTTTTAACTGGTGATAAAATTGGTAAATTAAATTTCTATCTTTTTTTTTTGTCAATTGAACATTTTCTTTTTTTTAGAAACCGCTTATAATATTGGTCTATCATGTTGTTTGTTAAAAAATGATATGGAAAGTTTTTTTATTGAAGAAGAAAATGAAGATGGTGTTGAAAAAAAATTAAAAGAAGTTCGAAATAAAATGATTACTAAAATTGAACAATTATTTGATGTTCATATTGACAATAAAGACAAAAGACTTGATTGGAAAGATTGAGAAATTGAGAAATTGATGTTATGAAATTTGATGAATATAGAAGAAATGATAATAATACGAATAATGGTAATGCAAAACGTTCAAATGGTCATGCAACAACAACAATGGATACAAATCCTAATGAACGTGAACAATTTGAAGGTTTTGGTTTATGAATTACAGGTCAAGCATTAGGATATGCATTAGAAAATAAATTAAAAATGAAATTTCTTGAACTTGGTACAACGTGTAAAGCTGTTGTTTGTTGTCGTGTAACACTATTACAAAAAGCTCAAGTTGTTGAATTAGTTATGCAAAATGAAAACAAAATTACATTAGCTATTGGTGGTGATGGTGCTAATGATGTATCAATGATACAAAGTATGACACAAAAAAAACAAACAAACATTTTTGTTTTATATTCAAGAAAAATAAAAATGTTTTTTTTTTGTTTTGTAGAAGCACATATTGGAGTTGGTATTAGTGGACAAGAAGGTCGACAAGCTGTTTTAGCAAGTGATTATAGTTTTGGACAATTTCGTTTTCTTGAAAGATTATTATCGGGTCATGTTCGTTGGTCATATTTACGAATTTCAAAATTTTTACGTTATTTTTTCTATAAAAATTTTGCATTTACATTATGTCATTTTTGGTTTGGATTTTTTTCGGGTTTTTCAGCACAAGTAAGTTATAAAGAGAATAAAAAAATAGAATTATTTCATTTCCTCATTATTAGACAATATATGATCCATTCTTTGTGGCAACATATAACGTTTTCTTTTCTTCATTACCAGTTCTGGCATCAGGTGTTTTCGATTAAGTATGTCAAACATTAATTTCTATTTTCTATATATTATCGAAAGAATATTTTTTCAATTTTTTTAAGGATATTAGTGCTGTTCATTCATTGAGCAAACCTCATTTGTAAGTGTTCATATATTTCTTTATAAGTTAAATCTTTATCGAATTTTATTCAAGACATACACCTGGTCAAAATAATGAGTTTTTTAATAAAAAAATCTTTGCTGAAAGTGTAATACATGGTATATTAACATCATGTATTATATTTTTTGTTCTATATTTATCTGTATCGAATACAACAAGACCAGGTGGAATGACACAAGCTGATTTATAATCATTTGGTTTTATTGTTGCAACAATAATGACTATTATTGTTAATTTAGAAAATGCACTTGAAACATGGTATTGGACTCGTTTATATCATTTTGTTTTATCGGGTACAATAGTTGTACATTTTCTATTTCATTTTGCATTATATTCAGTAATAATTTGGAAAATTTTTAATACAAATTATACACATGTTGGTGTAGCACAAGCTGTTTTATCAATATGAACATTATGGTGAAACAATTAAGTAAGTTGTTTGAACTATTGAAAATAATCTTTGAAATTTTGAATCGCATAAAAAAAAAATTCAAGACAAACATTGCTGCATAGTAATTTTTCTATCAAATGACTAGTCTATCTCGCATTAGTTATAGATAACTAATTCAAGGTCAATATATGAAGTTAGATTAGACCTAGATTTGAACACAGTAGTAAATGATAGACAAAAACAACATAGATAAACTACTACTTTATATATATAGAATTCGCCTAGTCAACTATGTAAAAGAATGATCAAGGACAATATCCAGATGATAAACATATTATGTTTGTGTTCGACGGTATTGACTATGTTATTGTCGTGCGTTTAAAGACGGACATTCTATATATGTTAATCGTGTTTGTGCTTTTTTATTGTCACTTCTTTCATTATCGATTTGATTTCCCTATATGATTTTTATTTGGACAAATTTCTTTAATATCTTCTTTAAACTATTTTAGATTCAACATCATGAACAATCAAATATTGAAAGATATTGATGCAAGTGTAAGTCAGGTTAAATTATTATTATCTTATTAATATTTTTGCTTTTCTAGGCTAAAGTCATGATGAAACAGTTAAATCGATTACACAATAAAATACTTAAAACGCCAATTACTGATATAACTATTCGAGCATTACTTCAAGCTGAATACCAATTGTTGGGAGAACATACATTGAATTTAATTCGAAGTAAAAGTAAGCTTATTTAATAAGAATTTCATTAAAGCATTGTTGCTTTTTTTTTAGTGAAACATGCAAAAAAATACAGGACGGCAACTTTTACGCCGACGACGATGATGCCCTAGCCAATTCTCCCTTGCGAAATCCCCGAGGAGTCCCCTGAAAAATGCGAAATCCCTGGGGATTCCCCAGTTTTTAGGGAGCCCCTCTCAAATTTTCATGGACTTGAATTCTTCAGGAAACTCACTGGTAACTTCTTAAAGAGTCCTTGGCAATTCTTATCAACTCCCCAGGAAGTCCCTTGGAAGTCCCCAGAGATTCCCCAGAAAGTCTCCAGGATTCCTCAGGGAGTCCCCTGGGAGTCTCTGAATCCCCTCTTAACTCACCGGGGATTCCCGACAGGGATTCCCCTGGGGATTGGTTGAGGAAGAGTCGACTAGGGTGATGATGATGATGATGATGATGATGATGACAAAGGCACAACGGTAACATGCCATTAGTATGATGAAATAGACGAAAAAAGTCTTGATTTTTTTTTCTTCTCTTTTTTGCGGCTGTTTTTTTGTGTCTTTTTTCTTGTTTTTGTCGTATTTTCTCGTCTCGGTCGTGTTTTCTTGTCCTTGTCATCTTTAATAATTTTTCATGTAATAATAATCAAGATTTACTCAAAGAGATAAAAGTTTAAAAGAATGTTATACATATTAAAATTTTTTACATCATAGTTATAGGAGAAAAGGGCGCTAATGTTTTCTTCATCTGTACTGCAGTTCATCAGTTACCAAAAATTAGCATTCAGGACTAAATCGAAACTGACTTTTAAATCTTCTTTGGCACTCAAACCTTAAACAAAACATTTTAACACATTCATTATTTGAAAATAATCTTAATCATCAAACATGATTGATTGATTTACGTCATATAGAAAAAGATATTCTTCTTAATGAAAATATATTTCAAAGTAATTGAGTACATAAATTATTATTATTTGATTGAAATAGTTATGCATCATTTCTTAATAATTTACTTTATCAATCATTGGTATCATTTCATAAATTTATTTATAATAAACTATCATTATTGAAAAAATATCCATATTTACCATCATCATGTATAAGTATAATTGATTCACATAATATAACAATACAAAAAAATTTATTTGAAAATAGTCATTATGATTATGAATTAATAAGTGCATTATTAACTGAGACAATTAATACGACATTATATGTAACTATTAAATGGTAGGGTTCTGATGTTGGTCAAGCTATACATCATCGTATATTAGACTTTATAAAACGTTCTGATCATGCATATGTTAAATGGAAATCATTTCTTGTTTGTTGATAGTTAATGTGTGTACAAGTTCAACTATCTATACAAAGAATTCTATAAATGAATAGACCATTAAGAGGTTTATTAATATCAAATATAATAATACATAAACGCTATGAACCCTATTTAATAAATGGAGATCTAATTCTTATGTCTGGAATTAAATTAACTATTGAATTAGGTGTTGAACTTTACTTTACACCAAATACTGTTTTATTATTATTAGGACATCTCTATCCTACCCCCCCNATTAAAAGTTGTTGCTATTGATAATCGTCCAGAACCATTAGAACTTGTTCAAAAATTAAAATATCCACCAGATTTAATCATTGATTCGAGTAAAACAGATGCAGAAAATGCTATTAAACAAATTAATACACTTCAACAATCCTTTCAGATTGTGTTTCACAATATTATTTGAGATGTCTAAACAGTCGAGTTCTGCATATTTGAATTGGCTCGAGTCGACTTGTCGAGTCCTCGATTCAGTTTCAGTCTATAGCGTGAGGTGTGAGACATGCAGGTGAATATAGGTGTGCCTGTCAGTTTTCTCTTCACTTACACCCACACCGACATCCTAAACGAATGGTGACGTAAGAATTCTATTACTATATTAAAATGTATTTTCTCTTTTATTGATTGACAAAAAAAATTGCACACAAATCGTATATTTAAATCATAATCTTCTTTTATTTAAAGTCGAATGATAAATAAACTTATGAAGAGACATTAACAACTAATTTTCCTTTCATATTTGGACTATGAAAATCTTCCAGCATTTTATTTGGTACTTCTTCTAATGAATAAATTTTTATTTCACTTGTAATTCCATGTTGAGCAACAAATTTCACCATACGTCGAGCACTTTCAATACTTGCTAAAAGACTTCCTTTAACAGTTATATCACGAAAAACTAAATCAGAAAATTCAATTGGTATTGGTTCTCGTGGTACTCCAACAGCCATCATTGTACCATGTTTTCTTGTAATAGCTAGTGCATATTTAAATGCTGAGATAGGTTCAGTAAGAACAAGTGTTGCATCAGCACCTGGATAATTATATTTTGTTGGTGAATGAAGTGTATTAATTTGTTTAATAGCATTTTCTGCATCTGTTTTACTCGAATCAATGATTAAATCTGGTGGATATTTTAATTTTTGAACAAGTTCTAATGGTTCTGGACGATTATCAATAGCAACAACTTTTAATTCCATACATTTAGCAAATTGTACAGCTAAATGTCCTAATGCTCCAAGACCAATAATTACTAAAATTTCTCCTTTTTTCAAAGCGCATTTTTCAATAGCATTAAAAGCTGTTGCACCTGCACACATTAATGGTGCACCTTGTTCAAAGGATATTTCATTTGGTAATGATACAAGCCAACGTGAATCAGCTTTTTGATATTCAGCAAAAGCACCATTAATTGTAATACCAGTGGCATTGTATTCATCACAATATAATGGTTTACCATTTAAACAATCAGCACATTGACCACATTCATGATTACAATTCAGTGCACCAACTCGATCTCCAAGTTTAAATTCATCACTCACTTTTGTACCCCTTGCAACAATAATACCAGTTGGTTCATGTGATGGTATAAGAGGTAATTGTTTTGCTTTAATTATTCCATCACGTACAAGCATTTCTGTATGACAAAAACCAGCACTTTTTATAGCAATTAAAACATCATAATCATCCAAGTGTGATGGTACAGGAACATCATCATGAAAACGATAATTATCACCATATTGATGTAAAAGTATAGCTTTCATAGTTTTAGGTATATTCTGCATACTTGCCATGATTGAGATAAAAAAAATGAAAAACTACTACAAGCATCTATTCCTATCTTTTCGTTGCTTAGACCAATAGAAGTTTTCTGTAATTATTCAACAGATGACTCTATCAGTTGGTAATATCTACAGACATATTTCAAAAGATAACAAACAATCCTATTTGATCTTTTATTTTTTCTGAATGTTCTTGAGCCATATGTACTTCATAATAGATAGCATATTGTCGAAGTAATTTTCCATCTAACAGTAACAAAAGAAGATAATAAAAACCGTAGCTTCTCAAAAGAAATACTCTACACCAATAAAATTATCAAGTTACAGACACAAGTATTCGTACCAGAGTTTTTAACTTCTATGAAATGTTTCGATTCTAAAATGGAATATACTTCGATAGAAAAGCCTATGTGATTTCACCATTTAGTTTTTTTCGTAATTCAAAAATCGCAATTCAGATTTCTATATAATATAAGCAATATACCGATTATATGTCGGTTCATTAGGCATTGTAATGAGAAAAATACTTGCAAACTTTGTTTGTAACCATCATCTTCTTATACTCATCAGGTACTGTCAGTGTGTGGGTGTGGCATTTCCTTTCACACAGACGCACATGCACACCAACAGAAACACCCGCACCACTGTCGGGTTGGATTGGTTTCGGGTTCAAATGAAATTGCTGAGTCGTGTGCAGGTTTCAAAAGTTGAATCCGTGCAGGACTCTAATGGTGATGATGATTTTAAAAATTCCTCAATCAGAACATGTATTCATCTAGAGACAGGATTGAAGAAATCAATCCTTCCATGACAGTTTCGAACACATGAATCGGATACCAGCTAATTAGTTATGACAGTGCATCCTTGTAAAAAAAATCTTGGTTTTGTGCTTGAATTGGAATCAGAATTTTGCGTGTCATTCATGATTAAAGTACCAAAGATAAACGACGTTCCAGATGTGTTGATCAAGGTGAGTCGACAATAATTCGTATTTGATTTGATTAGAACAAGCATACCTGTCTATCTTCCATAACTATTTCATAAAATGCCATTGATAAAGTAATCAGACACATATAGTATCAGCTTCTCAATTACATGTATCCTGTGAATCAATAATTAGATGTCTTATTCTTTCTACAATTTCAGTTGATGATTCCAGCGATTTTTTTAGTAGAAATGATAGGAAAAGTGGGTTGTTTTTCTTGACTATTGCTTTGCTTAATAGAAATAATATTTTAGCATTCCTTCAGACCATTACTAATCCTTTTGTTTAAATACACATCTATTGTTTTAAAACATAAGATATCATTAATGTTTTGCTCTTGAACATGATACAACAATGAAAATCAGAACAATCTTATTCATCCATTCACAATAATAGTAAATCAATAAAGTTGCCTACGGATTTAACTTATGCGTACTTATCATCAAATATGAATAATATGTAATAAAACAGTATATACAAAAGAAAAAGCTATTTTGTGGGTGTGAGTGGGTGTTGATATCATTGTCGGCGTCAGTTTTCTCTTCACTCCTACCCACACCCACACTTAAGTATATTCTCTATGAAAAAGGGATCGTTTTGGGAGAATTTTCAAAAAACTCTCTAGACTATGGTACAAGATCCTGGGTCACTTCTGGCATAACTTTGTAGTACTATGTGTCTACTTTGAAGTGGTATGAGTCCGACTTCTGTATGACCTATTTCCAGGAAAGTCCAACCCCGCCAAAATACTGATTTTGATGAAAATCATGATACTTCAGAAGATCATCTGAGCGATAGGAACTATCTAGAGAGCTGAATTTTTTACTAGAGTAGGCATTCAATGATATCTGTCCATAGACAAAATTTCAGCTCTCTAACTTAATCCGCACATAAGGTTTGCATATATGAAATACCTCACATATTCAGTATGGGCCACCTAAAGATGATCTCTGTTGCAAGCCATTTTTAGATGGTGCAAACTAATTTTATCATTAAGTTGTACATCTCAGATGGCTCCTCCAAGTTCGTAAGCTCAGCACTCAAACTATCCCATTTCTATGAAAAAATCTTGCCTGAAAATCACGATTTTTATCAAAAACTAAGTTTTCGGAGAATCTTATTGATTCAAAAGGAAGACTATATCGAGATGAAATTTTTAGGAAAAACGTATCTCTATGTGATCTAGCTATACTAACAATTTCTAGTCTCTGTGTTATTCTCATCGCGAGTTATGAAGCACCAAACATGCCCAAAATATGAATTCTTCTTGATATTTGATGAGCCATAGAAAATGAAGGACCAAATATTTTGAGCTAAACATTTTATTTTGCCTATAACTCATGAATATATATGCTCATACAAAATTTCAGCACAACCGCTAAAGCCATTCTTGAGATATGGTCGCATCGGGTCCCCCTTGATGGTAATACAGATTTTTAGGGCTTTTTGTAAAACAGTCATAAACATTGAACGATTTAATATTTTCCCACAAGTAGTTTACGACAAAGTTCATAAAACTCTTCCCTCTATAAGAATACCCTCACTTGAGCGAAATCGGGCGACTTCGTTTGAGCAGCTTTGATCATGGCTTACGTGAAATGGCTCATATGAAGATTGAAAAGTAATTCTTTTTTTTATTCAGACCTACACCAGTTTCAAAATCTTGTTATGTATAGAAAATATTAAGTTAACACTGATAAAAAAAAATCAACATTGCTCTACATGTTGTTATTCTTATTGCGTTCGTAAGTTATAGTAAAGAATATCAAGTAATAAAATATTCCGTTTAAAAATAAATTTCAATCGTAGTAGCTTCTATTTGATATAACATAAAGTTTAAAATGACGAACCAATAATAGTTAGAATAGTACGTTCATTGCAGCGATAATATATCGAACATTTAAGTATATCATAAGGAAAAAAAAAAGAAATTATTATGATGTTCAAAAGTCAGTTGATTCTATCCAATCGTGAAAAGTTAATTCAAATGGAATGTGTTTGTGTAATGTTGTCTGATTGAAGAAAACCAGTTGTTATCGCTGATTTTAATCTTGACGAAACATCCTTTTTTACCTATGAAAAAATTTGATTGTAATCAAAGATGACAATATTCCCTGTTGAACTGTTTAACA